TCCTGTTACCTCACTGCCCTGCCGTTTTGAAGAGAAATCAAGAAAACGGATGGAATTCTCTCCGGAAGGAAGAAATTGGGTTGCTGATGGACCGCGTCGTGGTGGTTCTAGGAGGACGCACTACCGCCTGCCGCCCTCTGCTGTTCAAATGAAACCAGGCTTCCCAGCAGTTCTTTCCCACCCGGCCAGTACCAGCCTCCTTCTCCTCCTGCACTTGGGTCTCACAGAGAGGCAGCGTGCATTTTATGTAAATGTCTTCTTCCCTCCACGGCCACTTCCATTTTAGATTCCAGATCTCTCCTCCTGCCCAGCCACCACTTTACGTGGCCTCCAGACTGTTTCTAAGGAAGGCAAATGTTAGCATTTAGGAAATAGCTGCATCTTATAATTAACCCTTCAGGTCCCACACTGACGCCTCAGGTCCCTGCCCACACCACCGGTGATCATAAGACAAGGTGGTCAGGAGACCTAAATTCTAGTCTACTCATTGAGTGGCCGCAGTTAACCTGATTTAACAAATTTTACTTGATCTTTTGCTATGTGCAAGGTGCTATGTTAAGCAACATAACAAACAGTACGTAAAACAGTACATGAACAGGTTACTATCTTCGAACGGTTCACAAGTCTGGTGGGGCAATTAACATGCAGGGAAGATGTGTGGATAGATGGCAGCGCGTGATCAGAGCCATAGGGAGCAGCCTCTGGAAGAGCAGAGAGGAGAGGAAGGTCACTGTTGGCTAAATCTCAGACCCTGACTGACCAATGAGATTCCAGAACAAGTCAAGTTCCAGACTAATGGAAATCGGAAAACACTCCAAGTTCACAGCAAGGCATTTTCTCAAGTCTTCTCCCCCAACTTAGGACCCCACCATTTCACATTTTCATTGCTTTAACAAATATCAACGGAGCACTTATGTGCTAGGTATTACGCTAGGCTCTGAGGCAATGACAATGAAATGAAACGTGGCCCTTGCCTGCATGGGCCTTGTAGTCCATAGGGAGCTTCAGGCAAATACAAGATACAGTGTGAGAAGGTTGGCATGACTCTTCTCCAGTCCATACTCTGATTTGCTTCAAAACAGAAAGAGAAATAAACGAGGGGGGAATCTCCTATGGGCAGAATCCAGAGTCATAGTTAGGAAAACATTGGTATGGACTTTTTCCAGGCTCTTGGTCCTTGCTGGAGGAGTTTGCAGAGGAGGACTGGGTAGAGATGAGATGTACAGCAAGGATGGGGATTAAAGGTCAGCAGGCAGGCCTTTGACATCGATGACAAAGTCTCACGATGCTTTTCCCCAGACCTTGCCTCTGCACTGAGCACTGAGGTGGGAAGAGCTCTGGGGGCCAGTTCCCCGTCACTGTCTCCGTAAGGCTGCACTTAATTCCCTGTCTCCTCTGGAAATGGGAATAGGTGACAGGTGCTCGGCACCTCTTCCCAGCGCTTTGGAGGGGCAAGTGAAGGAGTTTGTGAGTAGTTTATGCCAGCCATGCAAGGTTAAACAAATCAGTGATGGTATTACCATTGTCAGCAACACCTAGGCCAGCCAAGGGGCAGCGGCATGAAGACGGGTGCCTTCCACAAGCCGCCTCCAGAGAGAAGCTGCAGTTAAGCCGTATCAGCAGCCTTTCTCTCCAAAGTCCGCACTAAGTTCTACACGGAAGCTAGGAAGATTTTCTTTTTAAACGGTGCCTGTGTTTAACAATATACTTAACACGGTTGGGGTTGTGACAAGAAAGAGGAATAAGGTAAATTCTCTAAGCAGCCGTTTGGGATGTTTATAGAAGTACCGCCACAGTGCAGGTTTACGAAACCCCACTTAACTTTTTATAACGTAGGCAACTGCCATTTGTCTCTTCCATTTGTCATCTTTCTCCCCCTGTGTCTCCTGGCATGGACTCGATGTCCTGCTCCCTTGTGGATTCCCATCAAATGGGAAATACAAGCCATCGAACAAAGCTGGCAGCATTCCCAAATCTTTTTTACCCTGGAGTCCTTATGATTGAGTGGGGGTAGGACGAGAGAGCGGGCAGTGCTCCGTGTTTGCTGGAGGCTGGCTATCGCCATCAGCCAGGCTCCCTCCTGGACACGGTGAGCCATTTAATTCCATCTTGCCCACTAGACCATTGGCCCAGTGAGGGCAGGCCACCACCACCTAACCAAGGGTCAGCTCAGTAAATCTTCATGAAATAGATAGAGCCCTTCAGTCAAACAACTTTCCAGGTGGGCATTATTGTCCCCAGTTTACAGATGAAACCGAGGCCTCAGGTGCTTGGGAATGTTGTTCAAGGCCAGGGAGTGTGTCGGCTTAGGGTCTGGTACTATGTCCTCTGTCTGCTGGAGAGTTTACAGTCCCTCCTGCAACCCACACTCTTAAGACCCTCCTCTCTCAGAGGCCATTGATTTTATTGTTTTGGTTTTTTTAAATCATTTTCCAAAACGTTTGCATGCCATTGTGTTTGAAAATAGACTCTATTCAAATAGTATTATACCCAGGAGTAATTATGTTATAGATCCTTTGGCCCTACTTCCAGATTCTGTGTATGAATCAGTCCTAAATTCATTGGAGAACTGAAATGTGGACATAGGTCAAATACTCATTCAACCAACACGTATTAAATGCCCATTACGTGGCAGACCGGGGGCTAGAGGCCTGAGGTACAAAGATGAATCACAAATGGCTCCTGTCTTTGAAGAACTTACGGTCTAATAGCTCTAAGTGAACCATTTTTTCCTTAAAAAAAATATTACAAAAGTGAAACATACTGACTGCAGAATATTTGGAAAGCCCAGGTAAGAAGAAAAAGAAAAAAGGAATCACCAATGTGCAGATGTTTTATAAATCCTGAGGTCAGGGCCTATGGCTTAGCATCTCTGTATCCACAAAATCTTACACCAGCCTCAAGAAGCAACGTTTTTTGAATGGGTGGGTGGACGGCCACCCTTCATCTCATCACCCCAAGAAGATCACTATTAACGTTCAGGAAATATTCCTAGTTTCCTTTTCTTTGACTGTGAAATGACTGGCTCGATGTCATTCTCCCACCTCACCTAAGTCAGGTGGACCAGTTTCTGGCCTCCTTAGCACCCCCTACAAGTGATGCTGGACTGCCCACCATGTGTACTGGTAGTTTAGTTAATTTTTCAACTAGAGCAACTCTTCACACTTCTCTGCCTACCATGGCCCAGGGCCTCTTCACATAGAGGCGGTTTCTAAGGTGTGGGAGAAGCAGTCGCTTTTACCAAATGCCCCATGCATCCTCCACACCCCCCCGCCAGAAAAGACTCAGGGGCAGGAAGTTGGTTTATGTGAGATCAGTCCCCTTGGATGGAGGGGAACCTTCAGCAGCTTTCCTCAACAGGCTGCATGTTGATTCACCTGAGGCAGCTTTTAAAACTGCTGGTCCCAACCCCACTTCACACCCATTAAAACAGAATTTCTAAGCATGAGGCCCAGGCACTGGGGGTTTTGTGTGTTTTTAAAGCCACCTGGGTCAAGGGTTGAAAACCGTTGATTTAAAAGCAGGCCGGGCAGTACTGTGAGTGGCCTTTGGAGACTAGTATAGGGCACCGTGATGGTCAGAGTCTTGAGACACTCAGCCCCGGGACTTGGCGTTGCAAGAGTTTTCTGAAAAACCTGGGTGGTAGATGCAGGCAATCGGTGTGCAGAGGGGAACTCAGAGGAGGAAATATCTTTTTCCAAAGGGCTCGTATGGTTGCCTGTGTCAGGTAAAACCACACAGAAGCCAAGCTCACCTATGACTTGGGTAAATTGGGGAGATATGTGTGACTGCCCCAACAGACGATTTGCAAGACACATGAGCCTCCTAGCTTCATTATGAAGGAAAGAAGAATTTTGCAAGATGAACTGTTAGAGATAAGCCCCTGCAACGATAGGCCTCTTAGCAGAAGGGAGATGATTAGACTTAGATAATTTATTTAAATAGTCACTGAATACTTGTTATTTGTCAAGCATTGTGTGACATACAATATTTCATTTCATCTTCATGATAACGCTTTGTACTAGGTATTATTTATCACCATGTTATGGTGAAGGAAAGTGATGACAGTAAGTTTTTAAAAATGAAGATAAAATCACATTAAGCAAAAGAGGTAAGCCCCAGCCTCTCCTACTGGGAAGCCCAGATTTTGTTCCCCCCACCCAGCTTTATGACCCAGGCTGTAGGATTACAGGTAATACAAAAGATAGGAGAAAAACCAAGGCGACATCTTCTCAAGAAGGGGTAATGGCCAGTCGACTGGAAGGTCTTCCCTTCTGTAAGATCCATGGTGTCACAAAGCAGACACCGTAGTGTGCAGAGGGCTCCAGCATGGCCTCTGCCAACCAGCCACGTGACCAGATAGGTCCCTAGGGCAGCCCAAGTCTCTGTTTCCTCAACCGTGCAGCCAAAAGGGCTGTGCAGTGCTTTTCAAGTTGCCCTGTGGAGGCCTGGGCTACAGGAGCAGTTCATTGGGGCAGGATGGACAGCTGGGACTTCCCTCTTCCCCCTTCAACCAGACAAGCTCTGCATTTAGGTGCTGGAAGGAAACCACTGGGCTGGTTAATGTCCATGACTCTTCCAGTTTAATAGATGTCAGTCGCTCTGTTTTTGAAAATTCCCGATGCTGGGAAGAATCAGTGCCATCACGATGCTTGAGTGCATATTGAGGTGGGGGAGAATGGCACAGGGCAGGGAGGAAAAGCAGGTGAGGTGACGGAGGATAACAAGGCCAGCTGTGGCCAGCCCAGCTCTGTAGTCACAGTAAACCTGCCTGGGGCCCGGGCTGCCCAGATGGAATGTGAACAGTCAGAGCAGATGGGAAAGTAAACCAGGCGCCCTTGTTGTTACTGCAGTAGTGAAGCAGTCACAAGCCACAGGAGCTGGGCTCCACGCTTCTTGCCCCAAACTGTACTTTCCTTTTACTCACTAGGATAGAAGTCTCCCGTTCTCTTTTAGTAGTTTAGGATTTAAGCAATTTTCTGTTTCTTTGTGTTTTTCAGATCTTAAATCCAAATTTCATCCAAGAAGGTGAGTTAAAAAGTGACAGAATTGAGTACGTGGTGATTGGCTAAATAAATTACGGCAAATCCAGCACTGAGGTAGCACCTTTAAACAATGGTGATATAGTTCTCTACTTAACGGACAAGGAAAATGTTTAGGATACACCGTTAGGGTGAAAAAGACCACACCTTGTAATGTGTATAATGGGATCCACTCTTTGTAAGAAAATATGTGTTTATATAAAGTCTAAAATGATATATACCAGACTGTTCACAGTAACCCCTGTGTGATGTCACCATGGAGCTTTTTCTTCTCTTTTTTAATCTATATTTCCTAATTTAATCTAAAATAAACATTTATTACTTTTTTTTAAATTACTTTAAAAATACTTTTTCACGGGACACAGGTGGCTCTACAGAGTTAAGCTGAAGGTTATTTGAATCGTTACACAACATGGGTGGGGAATGAGAGGGTTGTGTTATAAAATAGCTGTTTTATTCTGTCTGTTCTGAACGATGCAAATTTATATCGATGTTGATTTGACCACAGTGGCGCCAGAATTCCTCGTGCCATTAGTGGATGTGACCTGCTTGCTTGGGGACACAGTGACACTGCAGTGCAAAGTCTGTGGGCGGCCAAAGCCCACCATCACCTGGAAGGGTCCAGACCAGAACATCCTTGACACTGACAACAGCTCAGCTACGTACACGGTCTCCTCCTGGTAAGCTAACGTCCCCACGTCAGCAACCCCAGCACCTGGGTGCAGCACCCGGAGGCTAAGTCCGGCATGTAGCTCCTGTTCTGGTTACTTGGTCTCAAGAGAAGAGCTGCCCTGGAGCCTATTCTAGCCCAGAAACTTTGTGCCCCTCGGAATCCTGTGAAACAGTGGTATACTCAATTCCTTCATTAACTAAAGAACAATTTTCTTAGAAGAAACAAAAATGACTTACTCCAAAGTGTGCAATAGAAAACAGAAAATCCAGCCACAAGCATGCTTCTCACAAAGACTATTTAACAACTTTGGCTGGCTGCCTCCCAATTATTCTGTTAATATTTACTGCGCCTAATTAAGAACTTTCTTGCACAGTACTGCTTACAGAGGAAAGCCATAGCAAGCCCTAGATGCTTAAGAAACATTTATGGAAGAAACAGCTAGGATCAAGACACTGCATCCTTTAACTTAATGTTTTTGCATGTGAAATGGGGTTCCCAGCAGAGACTCCCTGGCCAGGTCCTGACATATCAGTGGACCCAGGGAGCTTAGCTTGAGAGTCAGTGCATGGTGAAGCTCATGAAGATCACCAGGTTTTGTGCCGACCAGTGGGGAGGGAGTAGGGCTGACTGTGACCTCTGCATTTAACCCTTTCAGAGCAGTTCTTCCGCTTGATGTCCTGGACCCCAGGCTGGGACTACTGGGAAAGTTATTTAGTAGAGGAATTTGCCTTTGCTTAAGTCACTTAATTATCTTGAGGGTCCCACATGTAGAATGTGAAATACTTGAACATTTCATTCTCTTTCCATTTTCTTGTACCACTTGTTATTGATTGTGGACTGAAAATGTTTTGGGACCAAGTTGCTAAGTGGCAATGACACTAGTAATATTGGGGACCAGTATTTGCATAGGACTTTATATATTTCAAACCATGTTCTGATTCTTATCCCATTTTACTCCTCTACTAAGCCTCATTTACAACCAACTTGAGAGATGGGCATGGCAAGAATTTTCTTCCTCTGTATGGCATTGGGGAGATGGAGAGGCAAGGTTCTCACCCAAGTGTATAAGAAGGTAACAGAACAGGGACTAGACCTTGGTCCTAAGGACTCAGCTCAGCACCCCTTATACTTTTATAGTCACTTGTCTCATTACTGGAGTCTGAAGGGCATCCTTTTCGTGTCCCTAGTGATTCCGGGGAAATCACCCTCAAAATCTGCAATCTGATGCCCCAAGACAGCGGTATTTATACCTGCGTAGCAGCAAACGACCACGGCACCACGTCAACGTCTGCTACCGTTAAAGTGCAAGGTACAGTCTCTTGGATAGTCAAACCTTTTTTGTGCTTTCTTTTTAATATTCATTTTCTAATTCTGGTAAAATACACATAACATAAAATTTACCATCTTAACCAATTTCAGGGGTACAGTTCAGTAGTGTCAAGTACATTCACACTGTTGTGTAATCCATCTCTGGAACTCTTTTCATCTTGCAAAGCTGAAACTCTGCACCCGTTAAACAACGACTCCCCATTCCTCCCCACCCCCGGCTCCTGGCAGCCGCCATTCTACTTTCTGTCTCTATGAATTTGTGTTAGTCAGACATTTTAACTGGACGTTACAAGGGATCCCTGAGACCTGGGAAAGAAGAGGTACATTGTGAAAGTTCCAAAGCAAAGTTCCAGCAAATGGGAACAGAATGAATCTTTGATAAGAGCTGGCCGGGCCCTACCGTACACCTCCTAAAGCCTAGTTCTCTGACCAAGCTTTCTCTCCAGGGTGCAGCATTTAGTCCGAGGAAGAACTTCTGACAGCAAGGTACATCTCCCAGCTCTCTCTCGGGCCTAGGGAAAGGTGTGCCACTCGGTGGAGAAGGTCATAGGAAACATTTGAGACACAGGTTAGGTGTGTCAGCCTTGGTGTAAAATGCCAAGTTCTGCAGAAATAGCATTTGACCCTAATTTCTGTCTCTGTAGGTGTTCCAGCGGCCCCTAACCGCCCCATTGCCCAGGAGAGAAGCTGCACCTCTGTGATTCTCCGCTGGCTGCCCCCATCCAGCACGGGAAACTGCACTATTTCTGGTTACACTGTGGAGTACAGAGAGGAAGGTGCGCCGTCTCCCCCTGCTCTTCTTCTTCTATCTTCTCTTTCTCTTAAGGAGGGCCTTCAGAGTCATAAAACTATTTGCCTCTAAGCCTTTCATCAGCTATTCCTTCCAACTATTGTCTTCCAACTCAGCACAACGGCCTCAGTGCCGGGCTACAGCCACCTTTAATCTCAAACACCGAGCAGGGTTTTTTGCCAGAATAATGACTCATGGCAGGTTGCAAAGCACCTTCACATGCACTTCTCTGCTTAACCAGCCCGATCACTCAGACGGGGACCATCGGGCCTATTTTACAGATGATGAGGCTAAAGCTTAAAGAAAGTTAAGAAACACAAGGCTGGGGTTCATAAGAGGCAGAGCTGGCGCGAGAACCCAGGGCTCTAGTTTGCTAATCTGTGACCTTTCTCCCAGAGAAGTAACGAGGGTGGCAAAAGCAGAGGTCTACCCCACCTCCGCCCGCCAACTTTACCCCCAGACAAACTTAGAGACCACTATAAATATATATATATGATGACTTTTCACATTGTTCAGTTTTCAAATTGTTCAGTTTTTAAATTTGTTACATTTACGTGCTAAGAGTGCATACATTTCCTTAGCAGTTAGAAACAACTATTATCCAGAAGAATTAGTTGAAATGAGAAGCTGCCAGGTAGCTCTAATTGTTAAAACAAAACACCTCTCTGAGCCGTGTGATGAGCCACACACCTGCATTGAAAGCAACCGCTGGCACCTGGAACCAGAATCCTCCGTTTTACTCTCTGTTACTCCTCTTATTTTAACCCTTCTTTCTTCTCTTAAACAGGCCCTCTGCAGTTATAAAGCTGTTTATGTTTGCCTCTCTCTTTAGCTGTTCACTGTGTCTCTCAACGCAGCACAAAGGTATCGATCGATGCTGAGCTGAGAGACGTCTCTCTCCAAGCCTGTATTTCCCTTAGCATTATTCAGGTCATAGTTTATAAGATGAACTGAGTTCTCTTGGGAAAGTTATTTAATCATTCTGAGCCTTGGTTTCTTTATCTGTAAAGTGAGATTAATCCTCCCAACCTCATAGGATTTCTGAGGATTTAAGTGAGAAGGTTAAAAGAGAGAATTATGGGAAGACTCCTTCCGCAGTATTTTACATGTACCTAATGCTCCATACATGTTCCTTTCTGTTTCAATTTCCAAACGCATATTTTCTCTCACTTTGTTATTAATTCACAATATACTTTTCTGGCCTTGTTAAAAATGTGCCGTGTGTGCTTCTGTAAATTCTGCATGCTCTATGTCTTTTCACTCTCCCATGTGCCCATTTGAAAATGAACAGACTCTACAGGCCAGCTGCTTGTACCGCTCTCATGACGTGTTCAGTCTTTTAGGAAATTGAACCCAAACCTGCCACAGTTAGCCCACAGGCTCTCAAGGCCCGAGGCAGTGACCACAACTGTCCCTTGAATGGAATGTGTCACTTTTCCTTTCTTTGTTTGCTAAAGGTCTTTGAAACAATGTGCCTCTGGCCTTTCCTCTTTCCTTCTCCTCGGAAACTGTGCCCTAGGTTCCCAGGCCTGGCAGCAGTCGGTAGCGTCGACCTTGGACACTTACCTTGTCATTGAGGACCTCAGTCCTGGGAGTCCTTATCAGTTCAGAGTCAGTGCCAGTAACCCCTGGGGGATCAGCCTTCCCAGCGAGCCCTCAGAGTTCGTGCGACTTCCAGAATACGGTGAGTCCCAGCCATGCCCAGTACCCCAGGCGATAGAGACAAGACACCTGGCCGACTGTCACATACTCAAGGCACTGGCTGCCCACTGGCAGTGTCAATAGGCCACTGAGCTAGAGGTGACCTGGATTTGCTTGTCGGCTTCTGCCAAGTAGCATTTCAGAGGCCTCACGAAGGGTGTTTCCGTAAAGTACAGGGCTCAAGTTAGAGCTGCCACCCATGTCTACCCTGGGCCTGCCAGGTTCCTGGGCACCTGTGTGCGTCTCCAGGGACCAAGAGGGGCAGGCAGGGGCCATGAGTCACATGGGTGCTACCAACCCTCTTCTGAGACGGGAACACTGAGCCACCTCTTCCCTGGGAACCCCTGCCGGCCTAAGTGTACCTCAGCCCCACTCACCAACTTAAAACGGGGCGAGGAAAGCAACCTGCCTGAAGGGTTTGAGTCAAAATGAGGATTCAATAGTTTCCCCACCCCCAACCCTCCCACAATGTCTTGTTCCAACATGGGTATGTTTTTACGTGGATGTGTTGAACAGCTAAGATACGCATTTAACTAGCTGCATATGAGTATTTTACAAACGTGGTTCTTATTTTGCCCCCCTATTCATTAGCTCATCAAGCCACCTTGGTCCCTGGGACATTTTGTAAGAGGAAACTTGTTAACCTAAAGAAATCTCCAAATAGCAAGGTTTGGGGCAGGGCAGGGCAGTGGACTGTGTACATTGGGGCAGGGAGAGGAGGTCACTGTAGTTAAAAGACAGTGAACCTGTGTCTTGGGGTTAAGGGCATCCTGGAGTCTCAAGAGGAGCTGTGGACCCTCTAGGGCCCCGGGCTGCAGCCCCGCCCCCGTGGTTAGCTCCGGAAATGCTCCCCAGGCCTCTCCCCACTGCCAGCCGGGTTCAGCTCTGCTCCCAGGGGCCTGTGACTCACTGGGAAACCTTGGCCCCAGTTCTCTATTTCCTGAGAACTCAATATGGGTAAGCCATGTCCAGGCTCAGCCCGGCTGTGCTCTGGGCAGCCTGAGGTGACCGGGGTCAAAAGAGACGTGCTGCAGGCTTGACTACTCTTCTCCCAGGCCACTGCCTAAATCCCGCCCAGGGATGACCGCTGCTTTTTGTGAGCCTTGCTCCCCAGCAGTCAACACAGATAGATATTGGTGTGCGTGCTTGTGTGTGTGTGTGTGTGTGTGTGTGTGTGTGTGTGTGTGTGTGTGTGTGTGTGTAAATCATTGCCAGGGAATTAATGCATCATACAAGGTAATACCACCGAAGATTTGGGGTTAGGCTAAATCACTCAATACACCAGATAAGCTCATTCATGCTGAGAACAAAGGAGTGAGAAAGCAGTTTTTAGAATGTTTGGAGCACTTTCGTTTCCTTTTCCCCTTGGCCGTATAACTCTTCCCCTTTCCTCTCTGCTGCAACCTCCCTGCAACCCTGATTCTCACTGGCTTTTCTAGGCCTTTCAAAGTGTTTTTCTTTCTCCCTTTTAATTTTTTCTAGCAGATTTCTATTTGACAACATCCGGAAGTTACATTTCTGATTGTTCGGAGTTTTCCCTTCGTTTATGGAGATGGTACAGGGAGTCTGACTCTGTCATGTCAGTTTCCCCTTGGATAATATTTTTTTAAGATAACATTTCAGAGAATTGTGGCATTTTCCCACTGAGTTAGATTCCATATTTAGTCATGAGAATTGCTTTGGGGGTGATGCTGGAGCTTTTCTGTTAACCTTTTCGTTATTCTTATATGGCTTTCTCAATATTATAAATGGATTCTTTCTCTTCCAAAGATGCTGCAGCTGATGGTACCACCATTTCTTGGAAGGAAAACTTTGATTCAGCTTATACGGAGCTGAATGAAATTGGAAGGTAATAACCCAGTTTTCTGTTCCTTTATTCATGAACACTTAAAAACATCACATGATAATAACGACTTCTTGTTTTGTGTTTCTTTCACTAAGGGTCTTGTTTTGTGTTTCTTTCACTAAGGGCATTTTCTCTATACTAAGAAAAAACTAGAGTATTTATGTGTATTTTCTATGGTTCCTTTTCTAACTGCTTACATTAAAGTTCTCAGCCTTTCTACTTTTCTAATATAAGAATTTAAGGCTCAGTCATTTCTTCAAAGTACAATTTTAGCTAAATTCTGATATGTGGCATTTTCATTATTCAGTTCTAGGTATTTTTCCTTCAACTATGATTCTTTTCTTTGACCCAACTGTAGAACTGTTTTAAAATTTCCAAATGTATGAGATTTTAAAAAATTGTCTTCTTACTACTGATTTCTAATTTAATTGCTTTGTGGTTGGAGAATTTGGTCCACATGATACTGATTCCTTGATTTTTGTTGGGACTTGCTTTGTGAGTACTATATGGTCAATTTTCATAAGAAGTTCCATGTGTTCTTCAGAAGAATACATAAGCACTAATTGTTGGATACAGGTCTCTCTCTCTCTCTTTTGGTTAGAAAAATGTGTCCTCAAAAATGAAAAAGGATAGAAATGTGACTTTTAACAGAATAGTGAAAAATAATGTATCACCTGTCTCACAAAATCGTTGATGGGAAGGTTTTACATGCCTGTGATGTATTGGTCTCCAGGGGGTCTAGGTGAGAGAATGTGGGTAGATCTTACAAGTCACCCACCCTCCTGTGATGTGTAAATAAAAGAGCACTCACTAGCAATGGGCCATTAGCATCCTCTCCATCTCTGATTGACGGCTCTCAATGAACGGTAAAATTTCCTACGTGGTTGTGACAGAGGTTGTGGAGAGAGCAAAAATGTTTGTTATTCCCATTTCTTAGGCAGGAGTAACAATGTAATTCACTGCCTTTTGTTACAGCTCCTTTCATCAAAAACCAGCTTTAGCTCTACTTTCCTATCTTCTTTGTGTAGCCAAACAGAAAAGATAAAGCCAGTGGAAATTGACATGGTGATGATGATGAAGCTTTTTGAGTAATATAGTATTCTGGATACCATGCAGATAGTATACAAAGGTTATTTAAGCTAATCCTTACAACACCATGAGGTAGTGTTTGAGTAGATTTCCGGTAAAGGAAACTCAGGTTCAGGAGGTCAAGTAACTTTCTCAAAATCCCACAACTAGTACGTGTAGAACCAGGATTCAAACCCTGGGCCACCTGCCTTTAAGCCTGTGCTTGTTTTACTAATATATGTTGTTTCTCATCATAGCAATTTTTGTCAAAAATAAGTTCTAGTAGTTGAAATCTAGTTTTCTCCATGATATTAAAGTTTGTGAAGCTACATATGACCCCAATAATAAGCAAATCAAATCCCCATCTGGTTCTAAATGAAATTGGTTCCACCACCTGGATGTACCGGTTAATTCCTCCCCAAGGCCTGTATTTGCTGTTGATAGCCATAGGCTAAGGCATGTTTTACATAGAAGAGATGGACGTTTTGATATTTCTTAAGGGGAAATCAATTTTCTGATCTGTTCCAAGCAATTGATTTTTTTTTTAATTTCATCTTCAATAACCTGAAGCTCTCCCTCTCTCCCAAGTAGTATCGTCTTCATCTTTTTAGAAGATCCTTTAAAATGCTATATATTAACAGAATGGAAATAAAACATATAGATACTTACATGAGATACATAAAACATATCTGTGCCAGGGCCATGTAAGTGAGTCAGCTTTCTCCATCACACCTAAACCTAAAATTCTAGATCTATATGACTATCTTGTTAAAAATAGCTCTCCAGTAATTATTACAAAAAACAAAAAAGAAATAACTTCACTCCTGTAGCCCATCCATAGAAGCAAAGAGCACCTGAGCATGGCATACTTAACCAGAAATAAACTATATAGGCACCATTGCAGCTTAAAGAAGCCAAAGACTTATCCCTTGGGAATGCTACCTGGTTACCTGTACAGGATCCCAAAAGGTAGCGGTACCAGGCCTCCAGGTAAGGATGGCAGGTTGAACACAGGCATCCGTTTTCATTCCCTCCTGAGACTTCACTGAATCTACAGTAAAGGATGTTTTTTAAGCAGGCACGTAAAGATGAGGACATTGGAAGAAGAGACAGCAAGTATTAGAAGCAGAAAAGGAGGTGAAAGTGGCAAATGACTGAGAGACCTGAGAAACTCAGTCCAAGTCAGCTATGGGGTCAAGTGAGAGCCAGTGTAAGTTTTGCAGCAGAATTCCCGGAAGGCTCAGGTGCTGGAAGCATCCAGTACCTCTGGAAATATGTGTAATGAAGATGCTAAAATTGGAAGGGTTGTCTGAACCTCGTGTGAGAAGAAATTGTGGCTCCAGACCTCCTCCCCAGCTTCAGGTAGCTGTGTGATTGTCCTTCCCAATCAAGGAAAAGACTGACGATTTGTCCCCTGGAAAGGGTGAAACAGAGTGCCTCTGTTCTCAGGGACACCAGCCCCACTGAGGGCAATGGAACCATACTCCAAACAGGGCCACTGTGAGAATAGGTAAATGCTAGATTCTGAGGACCCCTGCTGTCCTACCCACCAGACCTCCAGAGGTGGACAGCCAGGGCCTCACCTTCCAGACAGAAAGTAGGAGGGTCTTTCTCTGGAGAATCTGACCAGCTCAAGAGGAAAGACTTAAAGATACTGACTCTGGAGTTTCCCCTGACAAGACAGTCCATTCAGATCACCCTACAGTGAAGGTCGAGTTGACAGGCTCCACCCACACACGCAGAGCTTCCAAACAGCTTTTTAGTCCCCAGCTTTTAAAATGAGCCAACTTCTGATGCTGGCCAAGATGGAGTAAGCCCATTGTAGCCTTTCTCTCCCACTGGCTACAACCAGAATCCATGGATGAAATACAGATAGCAGCTACCTGAGCATTCTGAGAAGTCAGTAACAGAGAGATTGGGGAGGGAAGTTAACACCTGAAAAAAGACGAGGACAGTGGCACTGAGTTTTCTGGGTTATTATGTTCTGAGGGGTTTTTTGTTTTTCTCCTGATCTCTTAGCTTTAACCCAAGGGTGGGCTAAATCAGTGAACTGTGCAGCAGGCACAGAGAGCAGAATCTGTAAGAGAAATCCACCTTGATGGCCAAAAGACAGGAAGAGAGCAGGGAGAGTCCTATTTTTTCCCCTTTCTTCTTTCTCTTTTTTTTTTTTTTTTTTTTTGCGGTACACAGGCCTCTCACTGCTGTGGCCTCTCCCGTTGCGGAGCACAGGTTCCAGACGCGCAGGCTCAGCGGCCATGGCTCACGGGCCCAGCCGCTCCGCGGCACGTGGGATCTTCCCGGACCGGGGCACGAACCCGTGTCCCCTGCATCGGCAGGCGGACTCTCAACCACTGTGCCACCGGGGAAGCCCCTCTCTTACTCTTTTACCCACAAGGGCATTTATGTGGAAGTGTATGAGGATGCCAGAGGCTAAAACTCTTGACAGAATCCCATATTTCTGGCCAGCGGAACTACAGAAAGTGTCCATTTGAGCTAAAGAATGTGGGAGAAGTCTCAGTGAGGAGAGAGCTAAATATTTTTATAAGAATCATATGCAAAGGATTAGGAATAATAATGCTTTGAACATTAACAGTTAACATCATCAATCACACTAGAAGTTAGAAGGCAATAGAATAATTCCTTCAAATTTTTTTTCAACCTAGAATTATACCCAGAGAAACTAACAATCAAATATAAATGTAGAATAAGCATGTTTTAGATATGCAAATCTCAAACAACTTATTTCCCATGCACTCTTTTTCAGAAAAGATTGAAGAATGCATTTTACCACAAAAAGGAAAAATAGTCATAGTTTACTAGAGGTTTAACTGTGACCAACACTGACATAGTTGCAATAATGGAAACACTGAATATTGATTACAATATAATTCTCTTGGGGGGACAGGGGATGGGAAAAGTGGTTATATGATGGGGACAAAGGAAGGAAAGAGACCAAAATCTCATCTTCTATAGTGGGATGTCAACAGATAATAACTAAAACTGAAAAGTCAAGAAATAGCCATACAAAATATACTATATTTAGAGTCATAGAAGTAAATACCTAAATAATCAGCAAAATACACTGAAGTGATATATTAAACTACCTCTAGAGGAAGAAAAATGGGGACGGGTGGAGGATGAGGCACTATTGTTTTTAATAAGAAACTTTGTTAAAGCTAATTGACTTTTCAAACCATGGGGATGCATAAATTTGATACACACAAAATATATTTTAAAAATTAAGGTAGCAGTGCCTTGACATAACCACTAATTCAGGAGCTCTCTCCTCAGCAATCAGTTGTTTTCCTGTATCCAAAGTCCTCTGGAAGGAGATGACCTATAATAAACAAACAAGAGAGGGCGCTGTTAAAACGCAGAATGGTAGTTTATTAATGGACGATGTAAAACAGAGCTGCCAGTTTGACCAAATACTTGTTCACTAGGCCAAGAATGATGTCTGACATGTCATAGGCATTTGGTTAATATTTGTCTAATACTTGCTTTATTAATTAGGGCTTTCTCTTCTTTGGGGAAAATCTATAGTAAAAAAAAATTATTATTATCAGGAAGTTGCTTGGTGAACACAGAGCCAGGTCAAGGAGTCTGTTGGACAATCTTAGTAGTGGCCATGGTGTCTGATGCATTCGTTTCTGTTAGAGGAGTGGACTGCCCTTTGGACTGCTCATTCCTCTGCTCTTGGGTTAGGGCACCTCATGAACAGGCTTTGGATGATGCTGCCTTATCACCTCTTTGACCCTCCCTCTCTCTGCTTCCATTGCTGACCAGTTTCTCCACCTATCTCACTCTCTTACTACCTTCCATAGGCCTGCAGGTGAGTCTGGGAACCATTCTGTCTATTTCAGCTACAGTTAATTTTGTTAGATATAAAAATGGCATGGTGGTTATATATTTTCAAATGTCCTTGTCAACTAGAGATGCAAACCAAGTATTTATGCAAGAAATAACATGCACTTAAAACACTCCAGATGAGGCTTCCCTGGTGGCGCAGTGGTTGAGAGTCCGCCTGCCGATGCAGGGGACACGGGTTCGTGCCCCGGTCCGGGAGGATCCCACATGCCGCGGAGCGGCTGGGCCCGTGAGCCATGGCCGCTGAGCCTGCGCGTCCGGAGCCTGTGCTCCACGACGGGAGAGGCCACAGCAGTGAGAGGCCTGCATACCGCAAAAAAAAAAAAAAAAAAAAAAACTCCAGAAAAAAAAGGACAGGAGGTGGGAAAAGAACAGATGAAAGGTTGGCAAAACGTTGATAATTGTTGAAGCTGGCTGCTGGGTACACAGAAGATCTGTTCTACTATTCTCTCTACTTTTGTGTATATTGGAAATTTTCTGTAACAGAAGGATCATAAATATAAAATAAAATGAAAAAATTGCCTCTTTAGAAAATGTTTTGAAATTACCGTAAAGCAGAATTCCTCCTTCTTTAACATTGTCACTGTTATATATTATAGAAATATATTCTGTTCAGAAAAGAAAACTGAACCTGTGGTTGATGTTCAAAATGACAGAAAAATATAATGACTAAAAATATTGTTTAGTTTTTTGCATCTCAAAGAACCCTAAAATGCTAAGAAAGGAAAGATGGCTTTTCTGAATGATAACATTATAATTAGAAGTACAGAAAAGTCGATTCCTAATAAAATGTTACTGTCTAATCACTTTGGATAAAACTTCTCATATCCTTCAATAAAATGATACCTAGTTGATTGAGGAATCTTGGCAAAACACTTTCTTCCTTTTGTTTTCCAGAGGCCGGTTCTCCATAGTAAAGAAGTGCATTCACAAAGCTACTCGCAAAGATGTCGCTGTGAAATTTGTTAGCAAAAAAATGAAGAAAAAAGAGCAGGCTGCCCACGAGGCTGCCCTACTTCAGCACCTGCAGCATCCCCAATACATCACTCTCCATGACACCTATGAGTCCCCCACTTCCTACATCCTGATTTTGGAACTGTAAGTATAGGCGTCATCTCTCGAAGGTGGTCCCGAGCTATCTGGGTTATTTCTTGCCCACAATTAATGGAAATGGCAGTTACATTTCATACAATGTCTTCTAGTTTACAGAGTGTTTTATGTAACATGCACTCTCCACTGTATAAAAACGTTATTCCCATTTTATAGATCAGAAAGTCAAGGATAAGGAAGATCATTAAAAGTAGCTCCTTAGGGCTTCCCTGGTGGCGCAGTGGTTGAGAGTCCACCTGCTGATGCAGGGGACACGGGTTCGTGCCCCGGTCCGGGAAGATCCCACATGCCGTGGAGCGGCTGGGCCCGTGAGCCATGGCCGCTGAGCCTGCGCGTCCGGAGCCTGTGCTCCGCAATGGGAGAGGCCACAATAGTGAGAGGCCCACGTATGGCGAAAAAAAAAAAAAGTAGCTCCTTAAAACTATGAAATGGAGAAGCTGGGACTTGAACCCACATCTCTCTCACTCAAGTTTTCATCTTCTTTCTCTTATGGACTCTTGGGCTGGGCAGGAGTTTAGGAAAAGCTTATGGATAGTGGGCTTATTGACAGGGGTGGAGTTGAATTAGAGAGAGGGGTTTGTGCATCTATCCACTGCCATAGCATCCCCAATCTACCACCCAAGAAATTCCTTTAAGGGCAGAATCTTACCCTCAAAACCTTCCACTCATTCCAGATTTTCTAGGGACTCAGGCAGCCATATACTTGGGGCTACGTACTGGGCCCCGGAATAGACCAATAAGGTCACATCCTTCCCACTTCTTCCCCAGGCTAAGAACAGAGATCGTGCTCTGTGGTTTAGGGAGATCTTACAGAGGCTAAAGAGAACAATCTTTTCAGAAGTATGGAGCCCTCGTAGAAATGTTGTCTGATTGGTGCTGATGAGGCCCTGCGCCTGGAGAGGAGATAGACATTTACACCGAAGACCAGTGCTGTGTCTGGCTCCACATGAACCTACGTTCCGTAGAGAAGCACCTCTGTTTACACCTTTCAACTGTCATTTTAGTCTTGCTCTTGTGTGCTTGTTAGTCTAGGTGTGTTGGGGGGGGGGGGGCGGAGGGAGGGGTTCAAAGCAGTAACTTTCTGTAAATTTATTTATGATGAAAAAAGAAAGCCAAAATGCAAACATCTTAGGCTACATTTTTTAACTGGTTGAAAAGAAACAAGAGGAGAAAAACCATCACTGTTAGTAATTGTAATCCTTTTGTGATACTTAACTTTCTATAGCTGTGTAGTAGCTGGTAAGTTGTCACTTTGTTTTTCTTTTTTTTCGATTGATAAAAATAAGTTTAATTTATATGCACGTTAGCCACTTATTCTGACCTCATGCTTTACTATTTAGTCCAGTTCTTTTTTTTTTTAATTTTTATTGGAGTATAGTGAAGATTGTCACTTTGGATTTCATAAATACATTTACAAACAGCCTTTCAGAGCCTAACCTGTTTGTTAAGAGCTTCCTAACTCAAAAGGTACATTCTGTTGACAGTGAACTATGTTTGTTTACAAGTGACAACATGTTGTACTTGAGTTCCAATAAAAAGTATTGTCACTTTTGTATCAACCGAGGTGGTACAGCAGACCCAGAACCTTTGCCTCTTCAGACTTGTCAGTTACCATTCTGAGGGAAGGTGTTGACTACCAGGCTGCCACAGAGTTATGGAAAGAAGCTGTTCTTGGCATGGAGAACCTGGGCTCTAATTCCAGCTCTGTGATTTGGGGCAGTGTACTTAGTTTCCTGGGCCTCAGGGTCCTTATCTGTGGATTCTGAAGATGTTTCCACTTCTCAGAGATGTTGCAGGGATTAACTGAGATGAATATTGCATTTACTATGTGCCACCCACTGTGTAGACCTGGGCCTGGGTGGCAGGAACAAAGATGAAATGTTATATTTCTTTTTTTTTTTTTCTTTTTTTTGGCGGTACGTGGGCCTCTCACTGTTGTGGCCTCTCCCGTTGCGGAGCACAGCCTCCGGACGCGCAGGCTCAGCGGCCATGGCTCACGGGCCCAGCCGCTCCGCGGCATGTGGGATCTTCCCGGACCGGGGCACGAACCCGTGTCTCCTGCATCGGCAGGCGGACTCTCAACCACTGCGGCACCAGGGAAGCCCTAAATGTTATATTTCTTGCCCTTGAGGAGTTAGAAGTCTAATGAGAAAGTCCATAGGTAAATGAATGATTTCAGCATAGCCTGGTAAATGCATATTTTGGAGAGAGTTGTGTGAGAACATAGAGAGGGGCTTGGCTGGACTTGAGGTTCAGGGAAGATTTGTGGAGAGGCAGTACCTGAGCTAAACCCTGGTTATGCCATGACTCTGGGTACCCCTTTGGTGGCCATCTAAATTGCTGGTAGAGCTTTTCTCTACCAGGCAACCGAGGTTCTGATTCCCTAGTCTAGGGAGGGACCTGGGCATCTGCATTATCTAAGCGCTCTAAGGATGAACTTGGTGGCTGAGACTTTCTGGTCTCAGAGTAGAGCTACTGTTAACTTCTCCCTAAAATGCTCTAAGAAGTTCAGGGGGCTGCATCTAACAAGCCCAGTCCTACTCCACTCCATGCTCACCACCCCTATCCCACCCTGGCAGGATCAGGGGAAGGCAAAGGAGGGCTTCATGGGACCTAGCCTTTAATCCTGTCAAGGAAAGTGGGAGAAGAGAACAAGTTTGTGGGAAGGAATAAGCTAGAGAAGAGAATGGAAACTTGGCAGGGGGATGTCAGCTGTGTTCAAAAGCAGTTTCTGATTCTGGCTCAGGCTCCTCTGCCTGGGCCTTTCCTGGGGATGGGCCTCCATGGCCCAATGCATATTAGAGACCAGCTGCCTGACATCTGGTCACTCCCTGCTAAAGAGGGCCCAGAGCACCTGGAAATAGTTGCCATTTATTGCACACTTACTATTGCTACCAATTATGCTTAAATGCCTCATTGTCTCACTTGATCCTTGGACAATCCTCATAATGAAACAGCTATTATTATTGTTGTTGTTGTTACTCTAAAGATGAAGAAACCAAAACACAGAGAGTTTAAATGACTTGCTCCAAGCCGCCAACCTGTTAGTGGCAGAACCAGGATTTGAATCCAGGTCTGGCTGGCCCCTTGTACCAGGCTTTCAGATATAGTTTTTAAGGTTGGAAAGTTGCCCAAGAGGGATGGGATTCAAAAGGGGGTCAAGAATGCCAAGATCAGGGCTTCCCTGGTGGCACAGTGGTTGAGAGTCCGCCTGCCGATGCAGGGGACACGGGTTCGTGCCCCGGTCCGGGAAGATCCCACGTGCCACGGAGCGGCTGGGCCCGTGAGCCATGGCCGCTGAGCCTGCGCGTCCGGAGCCTGTGCTCCGCAACGGGAGAGGCCACAACAGTGAGAGACCCGTGTACCGCAAAAAAAAAAAAAAAAAAAAAAGAAAGAATGTCAAGATCAAACTTTGCCTAGTTTCTGTTTTTCCCCAACTAAAAATTGACAAGTAAAAGCTATTTGCAAGACATATATGAGGTTCCTTGAAGCCACCAGATTCCAGTTATTCAGACAATTGCAAGATCTCTCTCTCCCTCCTTTCTCTATTTTGCAATCTAATCTCTCTTAAAGGGGTGTCAGACCTTTTTCCTTGTGAGCAGTTTCAAAAGTTAATGAAACATAATGTGTCTTAAGGTTATACAGATTTCTTCCCTGAAACATGCATGTATCTATCTATCTATCTATCTTTTCAATATAAGTTCTGAACATTGTACTAACTTTGGGCTCTAACTAAAATATGCATGTGTTGCAACATTGATCTTCATTTATAATAGGGAGTAGGAGAAATGTTAGCAAACTTACAGATTTGTGTGTGTGTTATTTTTGTTTTCTTTATAAACGTATTTCCTTTGCCTTTTCCTCCCTATTTTCAGGATGGATGACGGCCGACTCTTAGACTACCTTATGAATCATGATGAGCTGATGGAAGAAAAAGTAGCTTTCTACATACGAGACATCATGGAAGCCCTGCAGTACCTTCACAACTGCAGGGTTGCACATTTGGACATAAAGGTAATAAGAAGTAGCAACCCTAGCAGGGAAATGGTTAAGTCTAACCTGCCAGTCATTACCCTCGAGGGAGGTAAATTCTCATTTTATTTACTTACATTCGAATCCCTGTGAATATTAAACACAAAATGGGTTGTCACAATTTAAGTGTGTTATTCGTGAATTAGTGAGAACACTCCAGAGTCACGTGACACCTGGGGTTAGAGAAGGGAGGGAGGCTTTAACAACCTTGTCTAACTTTATAGACGGAATCCACTAAATGTCACCATCTTTTTGAAAAAGAAGCCCCTGTTCTCCAAAATAAATAATTTATCCTTTTCTTGATGTAGTGCGGAAGTAAGGGCTAGTTAAGAAGACATGATTTCCAATGTCAAACAACTTCCCTAAAGTACCATTTAACCTCAGCGTTTAGTTCAGTTTGAACATAGGGAATGTCCCATATACTACAGGCTTTATCAAAGAATGGCAGAACCGTGTCTGAATGGATGGAGTCCTACTGGTAGTCAAAACAGAGAGCTGAACTTGCCTTCTCTTATCCCCACCTCCTTGGATCTCCGCAGCCTGAAAACCTGCTCATTGACCTTCGGATTCCAGTGCCTCGCGTGAAGCTCATTGACTTAGAGGATGCTGTCCAGATCTCAGGTCACTTCCACATCCACCACCTGCTTGGGAACCCTGAGTTTGCTGCCCCAGAGGTGATCCAAGGCATCCCTGTGTCCCTGGGCACTGATATCTGGAGCATCGGGGTTTTGACATATGTCATGCTGAGCGGGGTCTCCCCTTTCTTGGATGAGAGCAAGGAGGAGACATGTATCAACGTATGCAGGGTGGATTTCAGCTTCCCCCATGAGTACTTCTGTGGCGTGAGCAATGCTGCCAGAGATTTCATCAATGTGATCCTACAGGAAGACTTTCGGAGGCGGCCCACGGCAGCCACCTGCCTGCAGCACCCATGGCTGCAGCCCCACAATGGCAGCTACTCCAAAATCCCCCTGGACACCTCCCGCCTGGCGTGCTTCATAGAGCGCCGCAAGCACCAGAACGACGTTCGGCCTGTTCCCAACGTCAAGAGCTACATTGTCAACCGGGTAAACCAAGGGACGTAGCCGTCTCCCAGCCCTCGAGGTTTCACATGGAAGTGCAGTGTGAACCAAAGCAAGACTGAATGTGTCTGTAAATAATTCTGTTCATGATTTCACTCCACGCGGTTTTCTGGATGGAGAGATGTACCTCTTAAACCTCCTCAGTGGTTTTTCAGGGTCTGAGCAGCAGTCAAATCACCCTAAGTCCAGGGACTTTTCAGAAGGTCATCCAGAAGGGATACAGATGCAAAGAGTCACGGAAAGTATTCAAAAGAGAGGCAAAGATAAGAAGAATAGCAGCTGTTATGAAATTTTAATTGCGTGTTCCAAAATGAGTGGTTAACTGGGCAAAACTTCGGCTCACTGAAGTGAGTATAAAACGTTTCCGCCTTGGCTGAAATTTTAAGCAAAAAGTTCTATTTAACAGAGATGTCATGTATGTCAACTATACTGGATTAGATTACTTAGATATAGTTTCTTAATAGGATACATGTACACATACGGTAAAATATATCGCATCCAGCTTTCAGAGTTTTATAATATAGAGATATATATGAAATCAATCGTAAGTAACTTTGAGTACTCCAGGTAAGACAGTGACTTATTTACTGAAGCATTACATTGTTTTGACTAAGCACAATTAGATGACAGGTTTTTTAGAGCATTTTATAAATCTTGTATAGAACTCTTTTACCAGAACCTGTGCATTAAGAGAAAGCAATGTTACCCTTTCGCAATCTGTGAATGAGAAGATTTTTCTCTCCGTCACAGGTATTTGACTAACCTAGGTTCTGTTTATGAAATGCTATCCCCAGATTCACTGGCAGCTCAGAGTTCATCTGGCAGGAAAGCCTGCCAGGAAATAAGTCCAAATACAGTAAGAGGTGTGGGGCTATTTTTTATGTCTACACTGGGTTTCAAATAGGTAACAAATAAAACAGGTTCATACAGAAGTGCAAATAGAAACCTTTCCTACAGTTCCTGTGAACAACATAACAATGCTTTCTGATGTTTTCTGCCGCTGCAGAATGCAGTCCTCTGAAAGCTGGCCTGCTTTATTTCTAACCCCTTATGGAAGTGAAGGGGTGCTTACGAAAAGGAGGCAGCCATATAGGCCTCTTAAAGGCCTGGTCCCAAGTCCTTTCTGAAGCCATGGACTAAAATCTGATACATCACCCTAGCAGAGCATTGAGTTTTAACTGTGATTGCAATATCTATCACCTCTCAGCCACCAATATTTCCCTGGGCTAAAAGGACTAATTGCACTTTGAGGCCAACACTGCTTTCTGGTGTATATTCTCTGTACAAGATGATTATGAACTGCCCTTTTTTCCACTGGTGGGAAAAAAAAATTAAACCTGGGCATTTCATGGCTTTTTCTTCCTTTCTTTTGTTTTTTTTTGGTTTTTTTTTTTTTTAGTTTTGGGGAAAGAGTTTTTGTGTTTGTATTTGTACGTGATCCACCCTTTGTTTCCGAGAATGTGTTTCCAAAATTGCTGTTATGCGAATGATATTTTAAAAATATAACTTAACTGTTTGTCCAAATCAGGTTTAATGGCATCGCTTCTCTCCTGTAGTAGGATTGAGAAAATTTCTGCTTGCACTCAGGAGTGCAAGCAGAAAAGTTTATGAAGGATAAATAGAACTACAAACCAATCTTAATGAAGAGGAATGGTGGAAACTAAGCCTGAACGTTAATATATAAAAACACTTATTCCCACAGTGGAAATGTAGAATTAAAAATACTCATCATTCTTTTCCATTGGTAACAAAGTCAATTTCCTCATCCACCCTCCACCTCATCCCATCCAAGATTATAGATTAATAAATTAGTAGAAAGTACAAGCAATAAGACTAGATAGCACTTATGTATTTTCAGGATTAACCAAATATGTGGAAACTGACTCCGACTGTATTCGTTTCTTAGTTTTCATATGGCCCTGGGTCATCAAGGCTCCCTTCCTCAGAGCTCTCTCTTGACTAACCCTTTATATTCTTCATTCAAACCCATAGGTATATACAAATACTATATGATACAATATTTTGAAATTTAAAACATATTTACTAAAAACTCTTTTAGTAAATATGTCTTCATTATAAGATACAACATAAAAGAAGAAAGCCTGGTCCCTAGGGCACATCATGGGATAGATTACAGGCACTGAGGATTCCAGATATCTGTACAGTATGGCTTGGCGAGTTCTGTTCCATCCACTGTGGATGAGGAATAAAGAGCTCCCTGCTGAGTCATTGTGAATTTTTATGACCATGTAGGAGACAAGCTTGAGTTTCTGCTTGAGAAGGACAATGGTGTCCAGACTGCACAGGAGAGTGTTAATGAAGTCGTGTTGTCAGGAGGGCAGTTGACAGAGTATCAGGCAGAGCCAAAGCTTTTATAACAGGTTTTACATCAGAGTTGGGATGGTCCAGATGGGAGGTTGTTTGGAATCTCCCCCAAGTACACATGTTGGGGAAGTGAAGAGACAGGAGAGGAGGGACAGAGAAATGAAAAGTAGTATGACTTTGTTAACTGGACCCAAAGTACAATCATTAGAGTAGAATGGTTTTAATAGAGGCCCCAAAAGAAAGGGGGTATATTTTATATAGTCTGATAACTGAAGAAAACTAACAAGCAGTCATCCTATCTGCAAAGCTCCTGGTCCTTCGCAACAGGGATAAGATGATAGCATTCCTGGTTCAAGAATTCTCCATAGCAAGCTGGAAATAACAAGGAATCCCAGAAGATGGGGTTGGGAAATACACTTTAGGTTGCTCTGTGGGCAACTGTGGTGAGGGATGAAGGATTAGGAACCACCTTCTTGTACCTATTTTGACAGAGATATTTATTAATAGGATATATGTACACATACAGTATTTGTGGTAGAGAAGAGGGGAGAGACAAGGAAATAGTCCCCTTCTACTATAATTATGGTAGTTCTTGCAATCAAAACTTAACTAGGAATTAGTAAGAGTGAACTTCCAGTTGAAATGGGAAAAATAAATGTTGGTTAAGGTCACAAGTTTCTTGCTTGGCTTATATTCATTGCATAGGGTTTTGGGGGGGTTTTGTTTTGTAAGGGTGGGATGCAGAAAGAAGGAAACGATCAGGGACAACCCACAATAATTTTTCTAAGGTATAATAATTTACTTCATCTTTTATATTTGTTTCAAATTAAATAGATTTATATCCGCTTACAGCTGAATGTAGGAAAATTTTTAAGAAAAAAATCATAACGTTGGAGGTGTCCTTCAGGTCTCCGACAGCCATAAACACTCTTGGGGGAGTAGAGGAAGCAGAGGAAAAGCTGGCTGCACCGCTTTGTGGTTCACAAGTCTTTATAAATAGTAGTGCCTTTCAGAGGGGAGGTTGGGAGATAAAGAAGTTCATTGTATTTAGATTGACTGATACTGCAGCATTTTTTCTTTATTTTAAAATATCTTCTAAATGAAACCGTCTGAACATAGGGTGAGCCCAGGAATTCTTGAGTTTCAACCTCAGCTATTCCTGATTCGTCCTTTCTTACAGAAAGTCTTTGTTTTTTCTGCCCCAAATGTCCCCATTGTTAAAATGGGAGTTGGGGGGATGGAGGGAGGAATTAATCTCATAGGAATGTTGGGAAAATACCTTAGTTGGGATATCTAGAAAATACTTTGATTTTTTTAAAGTGCTACACACTGCCAGTGCTAAGAATTTTATCGACAGTAACTTTGAACATTCCAGGATTTCAATATTCATGTCTTTAGATACCATTTGAAAACCCATGAGATTAAATTCTATAAATTAATTTTAATTGGAAGTACTAGGTGCTCTTTGTCTGAGTGTTATTTGGTCTTAGCCTGTAATTTCAATCATTTAAAAGCTTGTGTACAGAAAAAGGTTAGGAGAGCTGATGAAGTGTTTGTCAATAAACTGTTTTCTCCAGTATGTCTTATGGCAGAAGCAAAGAGTTAGATGCCCTCCAAAGCAGCCGTGACACTCTTCTCAAGCTTTATGCTCTAGAAAAATTGACAGAGAAGAGCCCAAACAGCCACTTTCCTCACTGGGAGGGCAGAAGTGAGAATAAAACATTTTCTGATATCACAACTCATTTCTTCAGATTCTAACAGGTATCTATAATGAGGAAAATTAAACGTACAGGTGTAGAAATGAATTGGACTCTTAGTTTTCAGAGGGAAAACCTTGGATTTTTTTTTAAAGATAATTAGGTGTTTCAGGAGTAGCATATTTGCTTTTCCATAGTCTCCACGATTTAGTGCCCGTGAGTTAGTTGTTACTTTTTTTTTTTTTTTTTTTGCGGTACGCGGGCCTCTCACTGTTGCGGCCTCTCCCGTTGCGGAGCACAAGCTCTGGACGCGCAGGCTCAGCGGCCATGGCTCACAGGCCCAGCCGCTCCGCGGCATGTGGGATCTTCCCGGACCGGGGCACGAACCCGTGTGCCCTGCATCGGCAGGCAGACCCTCAACCACTGTGCCACCAGGGAAGCCCAGTCATTACTTTTTTCTTGCCCTGTGGAAGAGCATGGAAATTTAGATTTGTGAGAATATGAGGGAGCAAATATGTCATAAACTAGATGGTGGTTATTTCTGTGTATTAACTAAAACCTTGTCCCATGAATTTGATAGAAGAGGAAATATTTCAAACATAAGGTGTCTCTATAGTAGGGCAAAAGTGCAAACTCACCACTTCCTTGTTCAGTTTTGAGGAATGTGGGCCTTATTTATTTCTCTCCTGTGTAGCATCTCTGTGGAGTCTGGGTTAGGCAAACATAGTATGTGGGCTTTCAGTGTATTTATTTACATTACAGTTTTTCTTAACTATTTAAAATCTAGGGATCATTTGGAAATGAATGATTAAACCCAGGTTGGAGTTAGGAAGGATAAGGTTTACCAGTTCTCCACTAAGGAAAGGGGAGCTACCACATTAATATCCATTTTCTAAAAACTATAAGGCTCTTAGTTGTTTCATTAATTCTAGAGGATTAAAAACGACTGAAATTTGTCCATAGCATTAGACGTCTTTCACAGAGAATATTGTGCATGTGAGAAATCTATACAAAAATAGTAGAACACAGAAATATCACAGGCCATATTTTCTATGAAAGACATTTCTTCCTCATTTTCAGTACATGTAGAAGTTAGAGGAGAGGAAAAAACAATTACTCTAAGACAAATTTTCATCTTTAAGGGACATTTATGGAAAGACTGAAATTAATACTCATGGGCTATTGTGTTTCCTGTCAGCCTATTTACTGGGAGATTCTCAAATGTCGTCCGATTTACTTTTTATTCAAATGATCAAGATGAACTGTTTATTCAGATAAATGTTATTTCAGGTAGTGAGGACGGCTGAGAAAATGGAGGGTGGTAGAAAGGAGTGCAAATGACAATTCTCAGAGTCCCAATCCTGAGGCTTAATTTAAGCAAGCGAATTTGCTAGCCCAGGAATAGCTAGTGTAATAGTTCCATCAATGCCTGATTTCCATCAAGAAATGAAGCCACATCCTGGAGTGTTATGGAGACTGTTACTGTGATGTCAAAGACTGTGGTTATGAATTTGAAGTTAACAGAACATACATCTTCTCTTACTAACTTAAGCCATATCTGTCATCTCTGTGTTTGATTTTTTTGACCCTGGTGCTTTTTCTTCTGTTTCTGCCAAACTTTGGCCTACTCTGTGGGGAAGGTGGGTAAAACTAGTAGTTAGGACAAATGTGAAGACTGTGAAAAAACTAAACCTGTTCTTCAGAATGAGATCCTAGTCAGAGAACAGTAGTGATCAAAGTGCAAACTGTTGGAAAATATGGATATATGTACATCTGTACATGTATATAGTGTATAATATGTATGTATATGTTATTGCTCATATGCAGAAATCTATCCGGTTGAAGACAGCCCAGGTGTGTCAATTTTTCTAGTAGAAAACCATCTAGGGCCATTCAAAACCATTAGGGCTGATAGGTAGAGTTAGATTCTACTCACTGGGGAATTATTTGCTGTCTTTTGAAGCCTACAAAGCCAAATGAACAAAGCTTGAAACATAGTGGGACCATCGTATAGGTTATTCCTTTTACCTGGAGTCAGAAGGATCTTTATATTTGAATATTTAACAGTTGGTTTGCAAACTTCACTGGCACCTCTTGGTTTTGAGTGACCCCTCCCCACCAAGGCTTTTGAGAGTTTGAGGTGGGCATCTCTGGCCATTCAGATAAAGGGCCTTATCTGTAAGTGGACAGGTTTCCCCATAGGGACCATTATGCATATACATATACATATAAGTACGTACTTCCATCAGGCTTGTAACAATTGATTTAAAATCACTCCACAGTATTGATAAATAGCTCTATATTTTCAAGGTGCAGAAGAATTCCACAGCCTTAATTATTTCGGTGTCTTGCTGGTCTGCCTTAAGTGTATCTTCTGGGTTTTTGGTTGTCTCATTATTTTTAAATTTTTCTGCAGTTGTTCATTTTGTATGCACACAACGTCGTTTTGTAAAGGTAGGTTGTAAATATTTTATTTGTAAGTCAAAATCACTCATGTGTGATGTAAAGTGATGACCTGCTGTCTTGTTATTATTACTACAGTAAATGTTATAAGTTATGGATGAAACTTCAAAATGTACATCTCAAGTTATGCATTACTATAAATATACTATACTAAAGATATTATTTCTGGTGGTCTTTTGTTTTCTAATTAAAACTTCTGGTGGAAAGGAGTAATTTTTTTGCTCTTCCTCCAAATATATGAAAGCCTTTGACAAGGTGAAAATATTGCGTTATTATTACATAACACATTTTACCCAGCATTTGGAAAGAAAGCAACAATTTTGTTGCCTGGAGAAGTATTCAAAGGCATTTCTCTATCCAAAAGTGCCAAATAAGCCTCCCTGTGTGTTGTTAACTTCATTCTGATGTTTTATTTGGCAACTTCGTTAGAAAATTGGCAGGCCATTTGGGATGCATCTCACAAGTTTACGCAACATATTGTGGGCTCCAGGAATCTGGACTAGACTCTGCAGACATATCAGGCTTTGAAAGTCTGTGTGCGCCACCCAAGTGCAAATGAAAGTGATTCATAGTACACTGTCAATTAGCTAGAGTGTGTGAAAACAAAGGAAAATCTCATTTAAAGTGTAGTGAGGAAGCCCTGAAGGAGGAGCTTTCATGCACACACCAGCACATACCACCCTATGCAGCTTATTTTACATCCCTGGGCAGGAAGATGCTTACTTAACTTCTCTAGCATGACGGCGGAAGATGTTCTCCTTGCACACCAACAATGCAGCCAATAAGAAACTGTCACGACCCTGAACTCTTGATTTCCTCCAATGGACTTTCCTTCAAAGCAGCCCCTCCCAACTTCCCCTGTTTCTCTGTAAAGTAACATTCCTCGCCTTTGTTCTCCAGACTTGCCTATGTTTTGCCATAGTTTCCGTGCCTCAAACGCAATTCCTCTGCCATTCCCAAGTAAAACTCATTTTGTTGGTAAACTAACAGGCCATTTTATTCTTAACGCTGACAAGTATTTGGGATTGAAGTATTTTGATTAGATTATTTTGCACATAAGCAGAAAAATGTTTTAACAGTGGGTTTCTATTTCATCAAGATTTTACTGCATTTATTTGAAATGAGAACTGTCAAAAACATGGACTTCTTCACACTGGCTGGTCATCTTGCCTTCAGAGAAAACAGACAAACATAAAAGAACATAGAAACATAGGAATGACTTGAGAATCAATTTTATGAGTAACAATCGTGAGTCTATGGTTTTAAAGGTAATTATCCTTAAAGTATTGCCTTCTACCCACAATGGGAATTTCCTCTACTTTAAGGAATTTATTTGTGCATACAAAATACGCTTAGATTTTCAGATTAGCTGGCATGATTATCCTCCTGGATAACCTTGATACCAAGGTATCAATTCATCTTCTTCTGCTCTCTTCCCTCTCTTCTTCATCTACTATACACGTATTATGTGCCAAACACTTGTGCTACTCTAAATGATACTAAACCCA